AACAACAATATGCAAACGGTTTCAAATGTCCAATTACATTTTCGTCTTTAACAGTCTTGATTTCCCTGTGTTTTCCTAAAATGTCGTGTACTTCTTTCTTTGGCTCCTTCGTAGTGCACCACATCTGTATCAAGCCGTAATCTGGTTGTTTCAGATTTAGTTTTCATTTGGCTTCGACACGTCTGGAATCAAATTTGGCAGCGACCCTATTCCGAACCCGTCCACTGTTTGCCCCCTGTGGCAAATCGTGTGGTTTTGGCAAACTGTCTCTACAATAGAGACTGAACAACATTTGTAGCGACTTTCAGAGCTTCTTGGCACCTATCCAAAGACTATTGGCTAGATGCTCTATAACATGACTCTACAATTTTTATTTTTCTTTATATAATATATAATCTACTTTTTGCGTAACGTTTTATCAAACATGCCACTCTTGGTTGATCTAAGTTGATACATGTAGACCTGTCTCATTTTCGAGGTATATTTTCTCCCTTGAAACAAGAAGCGAAGTGGAGGGGAAGCTTATTCTGTCTCCCGGGCTGTTTGAAAGGGGACTCACATTGTACAAGGTGTAAATTGAATCCGTGATAGTGCCATTCCATTGAATCCAACTTGGTGGTTGATATTTGTTACAGACCATTTGTCTCCCCGCATCAGCTGATTTATACTGTGTAACAATTTGTTCCAGGACCTTGATCACTGAACAAACTTCATCCTGCTTTTTCAGCAAAGAAAGAGGACCAGAGTTTCAGTCAGGAAAAACCAATGGTCAGTTTTTGTAATTAAGTTAAACGATGGATTCAACTTGCAACTTGGATTAACAATCTAGTAAGAGAGGGTAGTATACAGGTCAAAAAGTCAGTGCATCCGAAAAGGATAGTCCTTTCTTTTAACTCCACGTCATGCATGTCAGCGTGTTGGTTGGCTGAATAAGCGAATCTTCGGTCGCACAGGGGCTGGGACCGCTCTATTCGGACCCAGATTAGAATTTTAAATTCGAAAATCGGATGTCTATGTAAATTCGCTATGTCTGTTGTGTTCTTTTCTCCTGGCACTCCTTTGCGAAGTCTGAACGTTATGGAAAAACGATCGCATAAATTCGCCTATTTTCGGAACATTCTTTGGCCCAGGTTGCACAACCAACCCGGAATCTGCAAGGGAATTTCGTGCGAAGAAGGGTTCATTCGCTAATGAACCTTGTAATCGGTTGATTAGAAAACAAGCGGCGGTCGTATTTGTTGTGGTCGCGGCCTAGTTGATCCGAATTGTTCAGAAATCATGCAAAAGTTGAAAACAAAAACACTGTTTTCATCACAATGATTAGTTTGCTTTATCCTTTAAACTTGAATTCAGATGTCTAAACGCGTACGGTTTCTACCGGTTGCCAGAGGACCCTCGTTTCCGGAGATACCTATCCTAAGCGTATGGCTGTTTCTTAACTTATAAACTTTCAATTTCGTTAGTATAAAAAGAACATGCTTTTCTTTTCTTATCGCAATAAGTGTGGGGGTAGACATCCATACTTGAAGAACAAAAACTTGCATTGATATTCAAATTCCGATGTATTTCTTGTGCATTTGAAAAGAATCCTTCATCATGTGGGTCTAAAAGCTTGGAACCCACATCCCTACCCCCACTTGGGAACTCTCTACGCTGCAAAAATTTAAAAATCACCTCAAAGTACATTTGAGAATCTAAATTTTACTAAAATACGACTTTCTGGAAGATCGGCTGCACCCTTTTTATCAAATTGCATTCATATATTTTTCGTATGCTTTTATATTTTAAGTTTTTGCTGAGGGAAATTTTCGTGTATAAACAATATATAATGATAATAATTGAAGCTAATTGGATACGTTTTCGGAAGTATGCATTTGATCAGGTTGTGATTCTTTTGCTTGCTAGCAGCAAGCCAGCCGCAAAGGCGACCAGGCTACAATCTTGGAACTCTGTTTTTCGTAAGAGTGTTATTAAATCATTTTCATGGAAGCTTGTAAACTGGCCAACCCGCATGTTTTTTCAGAGGCTAACCATCAGTGTCTGAGCGGTTTTCATTGACCACAGTTGTCCCTAACCATGTTTATTGTGCCTCGTTCTGAAGCCCTATACAAATAGACGAGTTACTATTTCTAGAGCGTCTTTAAGAACACAGCATGAATGGAAGAGTTTCGATGAATCTATAAAAGTAATGAGAGTGATGGTGCAAATTGAGCTTGTGGGTCATGTCATTTGCAAGGAACAGACAAAGGTAAAAACAAGGACAAAGAAACCCAAAGAGATTGCCTGCATGTGAATTTCGAAATGGCAGAAGAATTGTGCAAACCAACTAAATTGGATTGCAATAATTACAGTATTCTGTTTTTCCTGTTACATAGGCCTCAATAACAGATCATTCACTCTGCTAGCAGCTTAGATAGCAACAGAGGGAAGTCCTTCCTTTTCAATGTCGTGCCGTCTTTTCTATCTACGGGTCATCATCCGTGTAAAAGGTCTCGTCCCTTTTTCAGATCGGAAATCATGTTGCAACTCGCATCTTTCTGCTCATAGTACAAAGAAACCTTAAAGTCTGGATCGAATTAGGATAGGGTATCTGGTAACGAAAGCGAGGGGCATTTCACTTCATAAAATCCCGTACATCCTATCTGAAAATCCAAAAATAAATCTGAAAATCCTTTAGAAATCCGAAAATCTCTGCAAATCTTCTTGAGATCCTAAATCTACTCGAAACTTTCAAAAGTTCCATTAGTTACGACTTTTTTACCAAATCTTGGCAGAAGTTTGGGAGGTGAATAATCAGCTAAATAGTGCGAAAACTTCAGCAATGCTCAATAAATACAAAAAGACGTAGTATAAAGAGAGGGTGCTAACATTGAGGTTGCTGCGCTGGAGCTTTTTTGGTTGCCATAACTGCCATCAGCACTTGCTTAGTACGTTCAGTATCCTGAGATCAATCATAGAGATGGAGCAAAAATGATAGAGCTACAATATTGTTTTGGGAGGAAAAAGGTGATTGGAAATTACAGGGGCAACGTAAAGTAGTAAATTGAAAAAATTCATTTTGTCTGAACAATTTTGTCCCTGATATGGCAAGTCTTCCATCATTCTGTAATTTTGTCTCTGTTCTCTGTTCGCAACATTGCAATCCTTAGGTAAAATTCTAATCTTTCATTTGCCATATATAACCCATTTTTATATATTTAACCGTTTTTGCTTTTCTCGGGTATTTCATGGTGTTCTTTTAGGTTATGCAGTTAAAATTTAAAAAAATTCTAGAAATATGAAATTTATGACGTCACACGTCAAGACGTCAAATCTCTTTATGACGTCATACTTGAGAAATTTTCTAGACGTTTTACTGTGTTCAGTAGTAAGGCATCTCCGCTTTGATATCGTTCAGTTAAAAAATTAACGATTAGTTTACGATACATTTACACATTTTCAATGGTATTTAAGAATGTTTAACGTCCATGAAGAACCCCTGGAAATCTTTAATAAGAACCAAGAAATCCAGAAATCCTTATCATATCTGTTAGAATATCCGAAAATCCTTATAGGGATTTTTGGGATTTTAGAAATCCCAAAAATCTCATACGCTATTTCAGGTAGTGAAATGCCCCTGGAATGAAAGGTTTGCTCTTGTATATTATCATGGAGACAACAAAAGTATGCGGAAATGTAGGCATTTTCAAAGTTACAAGCGGAAAGGGTATAATTGAGGATGACATCATATTGGAGATGGTGTAGAGTTGAAAAAACAGGGTCGGATATCGCGGTACACCGCCAAGCTGGCATGCCAGGGATGCTCAGTGCATTCCTACTTGTAAATGCAAGTTCGAAAACACGTGGCTTCAGTGCATGCTCCGTCGCATCATGTTCAATAGAGAAGGTCGGGCATATGTTGGCTCCTTTGACATTGGATATTGATTTGGTTGAGCGTTTCTTTGTGGTTTTCTGAATATTGAGCCTTCAATTGGATTAGCTACAAGCTCATCTTTTGCTTTAGGCGGTTCTTTCCCAGAAACTTTTAAGTTTTGGAATCATTTTGCAACGGTAAACAGGCTGACTTTAGATCGCACTCTGCCCTAAAAAGACTCTGAATTGAAGAATTGAATTGAAGAAATGCGGTAATGGAACTGGCAAAGAAAGTGATTCAGGGAGAGGCAGAGATGCCGACTAGTTTCAAAATTTAAACAGTTTTGTTTGCAAAAAAATACTGCGAATTTATTTTTTTCTCTTCTTGTATTATACCTCTTTCTTACCGATTAACGCTCAATTTATAGTCAGTTGTTCGAGTTTGCAATGCATGATTTTGAAGAGGCTTGCTTAGTCTGCAAACATTTAGAAGTTCAAGGGGCGCTACGTAGTTGAAGGAGGTGCACCTATGCAATATAGGACCTTGTACAAAAGAAGGTTCCTGTAAAGAAAAAATCTGGTGTTTTTGAGGGTAGTTACCACCCGTTCCGACACCCACACCCCTCTTTGGCCTGTAACCAGACAGCCAGGCAACACCATTAGCCCTGGACTTGGTTGATCTACAATGAAACAGTGACTAACCCCTAACCTTTATTTGCCATCTAGACACGGCCACATTCGTTTTGAGAATTATGTTTGGTTTCTGGTTAGAGGAGTCTAGCAAACATCCGCAATCCACTGACAGGGATGAGCAGATTTTGGAAAACCGAGCGATGATCTATAATATACAAGTTACGATTTGTAATATCTTTAAATCATCGCCAGGGCTCAACCGCTTGAAAGAGTATGGTGAGCGATAAATTCTTTAGATGAAGCAATTGACACCTAGATCTTTCGGTGAACACATCTCAAGATTGTAACAAGATTTGGATCAAATTCCTGTGCTTAGATATGGTCGAGGAGGTGCAGATGTATTGTTTTAATTGTTATACATTGAAACATTTCTTTATATGGTTAGAATATTTTGGATGTCATTCTATGATAACCAATCATATCAACCATCGTAGATTTCTGTTTTTGTCTTGCAGAAATTTTTGGACTAGAAAAGGAAAAGACACCCGACCTTTGGTTTAGAGTGTGAAAATAAGAGGTAGCTATTGTCTTTGCGTTACTTTGCAACTGATGTTAAACTAGAAATAGCTCTTGCTAGTACTGCCCGCAAACAATTAGTTCCTTGATAATGATTGTTTTGAAAATTTAGGTCAGGATATTCGAAGAATACACCATCTTGGGTTTTTATGAGAACCGAGCTGTGATGCAGCACCGTTTTCGTGCCAAAAAAACCGAAGGCCTTAGCAGAGTCTTGGCAGAGCAACGCTCCGAAGATAGTTCCCTTCCGCACAAAGAGGTGGCGGTTAACAACCTCCTCGACAAAGCCGATTGATTGACAATTAAATTGATTGACAGTTGTCATGGCAGCAGAAAAGTGACAAAATCTGCTGACAAAGTGCTGACAACATGAACTGAAGCTTCCATATGCTACTTATACGCGGGGCAGACTATAACCCCTTCACTCGCGCGCTATCGCGCGCGAGTTGCGGGCAATAATTGCGTTCAAAATGATGTTCTGATTTTAGACTTTTTTAGCAAATCGTTGTTCAGCTGACAAATTTTTCGTGATTAGCTTTCTTCCCGTTATTTCCAAAAAGCTGATTGTGGTAGACCAATAATGTACATAAGATTTTGTAAAAACAACAACGGCATAAACAGAACCGCTTTCATGTTCTTAAGACCCATGTTTATAAGACTTGTGTTCATATTGCTCATGGGGGGCGTTGTTCAAGGTGGAGGGCTTCAAGAATGAAGGGAAGATTCAGGTTTTTGACACGCCCTTTTCGATTTTGGAAAAGGCAGTTCAAGAATTAGGAGTTATTGACGGTTAGTTCATGAGCTGTTCTTTGACAGTAAGTGAACCTCGATTGCATTTAGAAGGCTTTCAGGAGCCTAGCAACATTCACACCATTCTTTGTGCCTGCACTGCGCTGCGCGATGGATATCAAGCCGCATCGTCAAGACATAACATCTCCTTTGGCTTGGGAGAAAAACAGACAATCCAAGGAGACGAAATATTTGCAGTTCATAAATTAGTGTAACTTAAAATATGCTGCTACTAGGACAAGCTCTTATCCAAAAAACCAATCCAGTTAACATTTATTTTGGCTCATTTTCATTTGTTCTTTGTCGATATCGATTACATTTTGAGTTCCATCGTGTTACGCAGTTATCTGCTATGGCAACCATTTTTATATGCTTTTGGTTGATCGGACGAAACAACATTGGAATCTTTTGTTACAAATGTCTGGCCTGCTTTTTGTTGTGGATTCTTGATGATGATTTTCTGGTCGTTGGGAACCGCTTTTATGCACGTTTTATCGAAGCACCTGAACGTTCTAGAATTTCTTTTGAAGAAAATTTCATTCTCGTGTTTCATTATTGAGTTAACTAAAGCTGAAAAATACTTCTGAAGATATATTGAGATGGAAATGATTCTGCGCAGTATGAGGGGCAAGTCACTCTGCAAATAGCGTTCGAGATGCCCACGAAAACAAATGGATTTTTATGGATTTCAGTGATTTCCAGGGATTTCTCAGGGATTAATAGCTTAACCAATAGGATTCTCTCCAAAGATGTACGAGATTTTCATGCAGTGATTTGTCCTCTCGGAGAGAACCCTGTCACCAGACAACACTGATGAAATTCATCATCAGAATACCCTTTAAACAACCCCGCGATTTCCATTTGCACCTCTGAAATAGAACCTGAGGACAGTCTACTTCTTGAATAAATATGTCATTCTTTGCAAGGATTAACTATACTTGTGCGTGTGCTTGGTCAAATTTATCTTTTGTCATGAAAACACAGCCGAAGGCCCGTGACGTTTGTGTAGAAGTTTCATACGAGTTGAAAAAGAGATGCTTTAAAGTTGCACTAGTCGTCGATGGTTGTTTCTAAGTAGCGGTGCACAGTTCACTAGCTGATCAAGTCTGCTCTGTTCTGTTAACTTGGGAGAAATTAAAGAAAAATCACATTGCTTTTTCTTCTTGTAACTTTTCACTCCGAGGCATGTTCTAATGTGGCTCTTATCTTATTCGGCTTATCGAGCCATGGTGAATCTAGTGTCTTCTTATAGATAAAAATGTAAAGTGAATAGGTTTAAAAAGCTGGCCGTGTTTCTTTTCTGATGCGTGACTGAAACACAAAGACTGTTCCACCCACGGAGTTGTCACAATATGCACTATTCCTGGGGTAGATCCTACTTTTGGTTGTGATAAAGAGGCGTTTAATTGGGGTTATACATTTATACATTAGCAGAGCGTGACTCACGCAACGGCCTAAGTCTTTCACCAATCAGTCAGCAGATTCAGTGTCACTCATTGATACCTCTGCTCCTCTCGCAATTCTTAGATTTAAGATTTCCTATCCCATTATGTGGTTGCATGAACAAATTTATGGTTATTTCCGCAAGCGGGGGTTCTCATACTATACTCTAAATGCTAACCCCTCCTGATTATAATTGGCGTGATGGTTGTTTTACCCCTAAACTGCTATTCCCCAATCTATATCCCATGTTTGAATGAGAGTAAGCCTTCTTTGCAAATCCTTTACGTAAATACGATGCCTACAGTTATCGTTAAATTCTTTTAAATACTTTCTGTTTTGTCGCATGCAGCCAAACTCCTGCCAGAATTTTCTAGAAATGGCTAGGAAAAAATGAATTCAAACAAACAGTATAAATCAATCAATTATCTTCAGATATTTGCTACCAAATCTAAGTTTTGAAACTTAAGTGTACAATTTAATTTTTGTATAATATGCTGATGCGATTTTGTTTGTTTTAGTATTTTATTTACTGGAAAGAAATGTGGGGTTTTTTGCCTGTTCGAGATTCTCTTTTAAATGAACCCCCTCCCTTTTCCCATTATTTGGTTCCACTGCTATCTTTGTGAACCAGTTAGCTACATGCAGTGGAATTTTCTTGATTTGCTTTGACCCCTTCATGCTTTTCTGAAACCTGTTATCAACCTTTGCCATGAAAATATTTTGCGCTCTTTCCAATTTTGAGGCATTGTCTGCAATATCACCAGTCAGGAGTAGAAGCTTCGTTTAGTTGTGTATGAAGACGTTTTGAGTTTTGAAGCCGCATTTGTTGTTTTCGTGTTGGCAGCCTTATATTGCGCCTCTTCTTACCTTCCTGAACAGAAAAGGGAATGAAAGAAAATGTGCCTCACAAGTTACCACGCACCAAACGATATTGCGGATTAGTAACTGAAGGAACAGTGTGCGGCACAGTGCGGTAGCGGACTGTTGTGAAACTATATCGTCAATTGTTGTTATGCTGCCTGGTCTAGGCCTAATTCGGGGCTAACAAAATTCGTCGAAGGCTTTCTTTTAGTTGCTTTTCTTTAATCAGACCACCACCTGCCCCTCCCCCTCCCCTCCCCCTCCACACACACACACAGACACGAGTACAAAGGACATTCGCACCAAACAAGCTGCGAAGGAAACCCATAAGAAGCAATTGAACACCTTAAAAGTGGTAAGACTTGGTTAAAGATTTTGCCTAAGGAGACAAAAGAATCTGAGGTTAACATAATTATCACTTGGAGAAATTCGAGATTTCATTGCATTTGGCCGTTTGCTTTCATTCATTAATCCCTCGTTGGCAAAGGTTAAAAAATAAGACAAGTTATAGATATTACACAATAGATAAGATCTAATTTCGCGATAGGAGTGGACCATTGTACTTTGGTCTTGAATTTCAAGTTGTTCATCTTGATCTGACAGTCTGTGTAATGGGCGTCGCAGGGTTACGTTCTGGGCAATGTCACTCATGCTCCGCATCATGTAGTAAGAAGCGTCTCTCTGCAAGCCGCAAGCTTGATTTGTATTTAGCGAGTGCGTTGCCCAGATCTGTTCGTATGAGAAGAGTAGTACCCACGCTAGTACCCACGTAAAAGCTTTGAAATCTTGTAATTTTGCTGCTTATAAATAGGCTAGAAAAAAGTATTGATTTTGCTGAATGAATGAAAAGTATTGATTTTGAATTATGAATGAATGAAATCACCTGGCTTTAAACTGAATGAAAAGCTTGGAAGTCAATGTTCGATTTCTCACTATAAAAAAGCAAGAATAGTGGAGATTGGAGTAGCTTGGATGGGGACTCGCGCCACTGAGGGGCCCCTTGGAAATTCGTAACAAGTCAGGATGATGGGTAAAACCGTTTTTAGGGTGCTCTGCACCATATCCCGACTTGCTTTTTGTAGTCCTTAAAAAAACAATTTCCACCTGCATTGACGTGTAGATTTAACAAAAAAATTTCATTCAGAATGTTTTTAAATGGTATTTTTTACTCGCGAGTATAATGTGCAAAGCGGGTAGTTATGATTATTCTCAGCTCTTTGCAAATATTTGATTGAAGCATGTGCTAGATTCACATGCATTGGGCAACTTCGTGTCAAAGATTCATTGCTATTAAACTTATAAAGTTTGAATAGGCTTATCGTGTGTAGCTTTCGCGCAAATTGTGTGCAGAAAATGCGAGAATTTTTTATTCAAAATGAGGCATCCTTTGAAAAGAAGGTGGCAGTATTGTTGCAATGTAAATTTTTTTGGAAAAGACTTGGCGTTCTTTCCGTGTTTGTCGTTTTATTCTTGATCCCACAACCCTACTTACACTCTTTTTTATAAGAACCAGTAAATTTAAGCTCAGGCTGACTGTTCTTAATTTTTTCGAAAATCTGAGGCTGGATTGTTCTTAATTTGTTTTTAAATTAAGGTTGTAAGCAGTGCTATTGCTAGCTTTTTCGCTTTAAGGAGATGTTCAGGCCTCATTTGGCAACAAAGTGAGTGAGACAGCCTCAATTTGCTGACAAATTTGAATATTCACCGAAAAAGCACCCACACATCGCTAAAAATCCTCGATTTTGAGAAAAAACGTTGTTCAAATTTGCATTTTGCAGAAGCTCAGCCTCAACTTGTTCTTAATTTGTTCTTTACTTTTGACCAGTTTTGAGGCTCGTGTTCTTATAAAATTGTTCTTATAAAAAAAGAGTGTAAATGCTGTTGTTGACTCGCGGCATCAAAGCTTCTTGAAGAGGGGACTTGATCCTTTAGCACGAGTCTAGACGTTTTGATCGACAGTATATCGCAGTGGTACAATAACAATAGCAAGCCTTGGTCAGCTCATTATTAGTGCAGTGTCAACGCGAATAAGCCTATACCTTGCATTATATGCCTATTCTGATATTACGTAAACATGTCATGCAAATGCAAAGTCGATAAATAGGAAATGAATTGGATTGAACAAACTTGGAAGCTCTTAATCCCCGTATGGTTTTGTGAGAGTAGGATCACACAAGTCATCAGTGTGAAGGAGACTGTCTCTTGTCACGAATCTGTGTACATCGGATTCAGACGAATGTTTGCGTATGGAAGGCATCTTTCACTGTTTGAGCGGATCCTGTATGGAGTTCCTATACACACTGAATAATGCAAGGAGTTTTTTCACATCGAACAAACGAAAGTATCGCCACGTGATAATGTAGTGTTGATACAAGTTGCAAATCTTTCTGATTTTTCGGCTGCTCCCAATTTGTGAGTCTTGCTTGATATAATAATGAAGTTTATTGGTTTTGCCTTAACCTAAGAAAGGAGATCGGGAAAGGGAAAAGGAGTCAAAAGGGGAGATATGTTATGTTATCAATGCGTTGATCAGGAGGTGAATGAAACTGTAGGAAAATGAAGCAATGGCATTTTTTGTGGAGAAAGGGGGTGCTCGGCTGTGACTACCCGGCTCCAAATGGGTTTCTGAGGTTTTTGACCCACGTGTTCAGAAGAGTCATCAAGTTTTCTTATTCGAGATTAAACCACCTTTATTGCAACTTCGTAAAGCCGTGCACATCACCAGCCCAAAATAGCGTTAAAGCCAACTATTTTACATAAAGTACCCTTTGATTTTATCAAAATTGCCCTCCTAAGAAGGATAGAAATACTCCCTAAGCGTGCCGCCGGTGAATTTTCTCAGAATTTTTTCAAATTGAAAATTCAAAGGAGGATATTTACCGTTGACTATAAAAGCCAGGTAATTTGACAAGGACATTGAAGACAAGGTCGAAATCCCAAACGATAACCTGCCCCGTTCTCTATCAAGGCGAATTTGCGCTGTCCACTGTGTTTACTTTATGTTGTTCCTTATATCCGTGGTAACAATGACATATAATGCTTGTGTTTCTAAGCTCTTTAGTGCTCAGTGACGCGAGAAGTCGTTTTAATTCACATCAGAGGAATTTTCATAAGCCGTGGTATCCTAGCTTCTCAAAAACATTGTTTAGGGTGATTTGTGAAGACGGCTGAAGTGTTTTGTGAGTTTCATTACGTTTGTATTTATCGCTAATTTTTATCAAATTGAACTTGTCGTTTGAGTCAGTTGAATGTTATCTCATTTGAACACAATTAGCCAATCTCAATATCTTACTGAAATCTCAATTTTGATACGCAACGATAATAAAAACTCAGCCGTTTGAGTGACAGCTTCGTAGACCTGTCTGAGCTTGCACCTTTTGGTTTGTTTATTAATACTATCGATAGCTGATTAAATGTCAAAATAAACGCCGTTAAACTTTCCTTATCATCTATCAGAGTTATTTGACAAGTATTTAGAAGGATGTTTTTATTAGTTGTTCGATTTAAAAGCATTTAACACATTAGACACTTGAGTGTAGGGCAATTGAGGATGTTGCTGACCTCAAAGAGGTAGGTGTTCACGGTTGCACGGGATCTTCCGGGAATACAGCTCTCGGTTATTGGATCGTGCAGATATTTTGCAGCGTGATTTTGCGTATCATCTTTCCTGTCTTTGGCAAAATCGTCGCTGATCTTTTGGACTTGCAACAAGATTGTCTGGTGGACTGACAGTTGCGAGAAACCGCATCCTATCATGGTTTAGATCGTAGATGTGGCGCTTTGATTACACGGGCTTTGTCCGCTTGTTTTGATAGCCATCTTGCGGGGAATGTTCAGCAGTAGTCTCGTTCATTTTGCATTTAATCAATCAAATCGAATTCTTGGTACCATCAATAATGTTGCATCGGTTGTGATTTATATTTTGCCGAAAATGTTTAAAGTTCGCGGAGAATAACATTCTTTTATCATCCACCCGGCAATGCACGTGCTATTCATTTGACAAACAAAGTCTTGCACTGCCTCGCGGCGTTTGCGTTTTTAAGCTACAAGAATTCAGAATTGTTCCTGTTGAAAATTCCAAGCTTGGGGTTTAAGAGCAAATTCCACCATTTACGAAACTAAACCCGGGGTTAATGGTCAGTTGTTCATTATCTTGTTGATTTTAGCGCTAGAAGTTTCTTTAGTAGAGGCTTTTTGGTGCAATTTGCTAAAGAGCCAAAACTTAAATGTTGTAGAATAAGACAAAATGAACAAGAGCACTTAACAGCTGCAAGAAATTTTCCTTCTATTTTATATGTCAATTAAACAGAAAATAGATGCGTAGTGTTAAAAAAGAATCATTTTTATCCTGTCTTATCCTCTAAAAGATAGATTTATTTTCAGCAGTTTCTTTCGATTTAGAGTGTCTGGAAAATGTTTTTGTTACTGTAAGCCATTCTGGGACTCAGTTTTTTATAAGCAATTTCCAATTAAAAATGCGTGTATTTCGAGCAGAAGCTTGGGTATTTCGTTAATGAATAGAGGTTGATTTTGAATGGATACAATGATCCTTATTTCATCAAAATTTCCGGTTTGTTTTGATCTTCTGGATATTTCGCAACATTGGAGTGGGTTTTTGGTTCCCTATCAGTTTTGCTACACGTTGGCAAATAGTTTATCAGCGATTAAGCAGTGATTGCCCTTGACCATCATAAATTACCACTAAGCATCTTAATCACAACTATCATAATGATCGTCTTTGGCTTTGTATTCTTTATCTTCTCGCATTATTAATCGGTTACAAGGCGATTCATTAGCAGTTACAGTTGATCGCTAGATCACCAGCAATTATCATTAATCGGAATGATCTTCACTGATCACTGCTTCTTCGATCGTTCCTCTTTTGAAGACACCCGAGGGGCAATTCACTCTTGCAAATAGCGTACGAGATTTTCCCTAAAGCAAAAGGATTTCCAGGGATTTTCAGATAAAACAATAGGATTTTCACAAAAAGTGTACGAGAATTACTTGGAATGATTTGCCCCTCGAAGAGCCAAATTACTCTCAACATGCTTTCATTTCCTAATTCTCATTTCATTTGTAACAGAATCAAATTATAATTAACTGTAATGTTAACTAATGTAACTGTTAGTGGAAATTACCGCTTAATTCCATGAAGAACCTGTTCAAATTGACCTTTAAGCGCTTACCGTGTTGGCATCAAGGTATTGCAACCGGAAATCGGCATGGGAATACCTTGTTGTATTGTCTGACCGGTTCATAGTTGAAATCCGACAATCGTGCGATTAGGCATCATGGAAATTTCAAGTGGCCATTTGAATCGCTCTTTGGTTAAATTGTCTTTTAATTAATGACTAATTGCATTTCTTTGGTTGTTTTTGATATCTCCTCTTGTCTTTATTTCTAGACCTGTTTCGACGCAGTTGAAAGTCAATAGTGATTTCTGTAAGTATGATTTCGCCCGCTTGTTTTTGTTCACTGCTTTTGCTTTCCGCTGCATGGGCACCTATTCTGGCTTTCAAATGAGCAAAATAGCCTTTCCTCATCCGTTTTGTTGAAATCCTTCATTTCTTTGCACGGTTAATGCTCGCTGTTGCTGTGTTTTTGTTTCAAATTCAGAGTTGCAGCTGGAAAATTGTTTGCGCAGTTTTGCAAAGCTATGAAAACGAAGTGGCATACAATGTAATCGTTTCTCAATTGATCTATCTTATGACGACTCGTAATAAACAGCGCGCGATAATGATAGGCCGAAAATTGACACAGCAAACAGGAAAATTTCATCACAAGGAATACTGATCAGTGCATGTCCTTTTGTGGGTAATATGCCTAGTTCGGGAGCTGAGCTTTTGTGGGGGCAAGTCATTGTTTGGTGTTCATGATCGACTCGTGTGCTTGAAACTTATTTTCCCGTTTGCAGTAATTTACGGAATCTTTTCTGTTATGATAAGGCAGATGTACTTTATTTATAGAACCAATACGCTCGCGCTTTTTCGCAGCGATTGACAGTGACCGTGCAGTGTTTTATGCCCGGTACTTTGCCTGAAAACTGACGCACGTATATAAGAATGCGGCAATTGCGTAACAAGAATACTAGAAATTCGATCATTGCAAACAAAGCGATAATTTTGTAGGCACATGCGCGCATTTAAACGGAAAAGGCAGTGACGCTGATGTATATGTATAGGGATAAATTCCATTGCATATTTTATATTCCTAATTTTTTCGGAATCATGGTTTTGTCTTTCTTTGAACGCCCGTGGAGTGATATCCGCTAAGTATAATTTTTCTCTGCCCCGAGCAGCGACTGTTGCCTTGATTGAAAATTTTGCTTAATTGCACTTAAACATAGGAAGTACTTGACAACGGGATATTTCGTATTAAGGAATGTGGGTTGGTATTACTGCTAATGAGATGCAATTAGACCTCCTTGCATTGTTTTCCTTGTTCTAATGATACCAACGTCCAAGTGTTCAAATGGATGATGCAAAGCAAATGATGCAAAGCAAATTATGCAAAGCAAATTATGCAAAGCAAATGATGCAAAGCAAATGATGCAAAGCAAATTATGCAAAGCAAATTATGCAAAGCAAATTATGCAAAGCAAATTATGCAAAGCAAATGACAAACTTGAAATTGAACTCCGGTTACTTTTTGCCTTCATGAGGCCTTTAACCCCATGCTGATTTTGATGCTGATTTTGATGCTGATAATGGCCTACTTGTATATGTTTGCGACGTTTCTCGCAAAGAATATTCATTTAGATTCTTCAAATAGAATTAGAGAGCGAGTAGCAATGAGACAGGTCCATCATAAAAACTAGAAAAACACATTTATCTTCGTTGTCTGCTCAAAAAATTTATACTGTTAATAGTCTTGTGTATACATTCTTTATATGGGACTTAGCAATAGAAACATCAGAGCTAGTTGTGAAAATTTGCAGCAATTGTTTTTGTAACGTTATATCTTTTCATTCGGTTTCAAAAGTTGCGACTTGTGGCAGAATTATCTTCGGTTTACTGAGCGATGCCATTTGTGTCCTCCAAGTTTGTATGGCAGCCTTGCGGTTTTAGCAGATTCTTTGTTGGACAATGCCCATGTTTATTCAGGATTGTGTTCTGATACCCTTTTACTTCTTTTTCTAAATTAGGATTTAACCTGCCTTGTTACAGGATTGATCGAAGGGTTATGCTAAGGCCACATTGTTGTAGAAAGGAAATGGTCTTTTTATATACGAAAAATGTGTACATATTTAGAACGCTCCAACACTTGGGCCTGCACTAGGCTAACGCGCCTAAAGCTTGTTAGAATGGGAGAACTGGAGACTACAGATCCAAGGGTCTTGGTTTGATTCCCTGACATGACTTATCGATCACGCAGAGGAAGGGGAGTCGCCATCTCTCTGCAATACCAGGCGTAGGAATCGCGAGGCGTTGTCATATCGAGAGGAAGTACCGGTGTATTTCGATAAGCATAGCTTCTCAGTGTCCTAAATCCTGCCATGGATGAAAGATAGCATCAAATGTAGATGAGTTCCCCGTGTCCACTGGCCCTACAACAAAGCATGACTGTCTCTACAACATGTAAACCAGAAAAAATAATAGTTCTCTTTTATTTGCTCTTGATAACCCGGCCTTGGATTATCAGAAATGGACGAACACGTGATGTCAGCTGGTAGCATTCTGAAGCTTCACTTCTCAGATTTGAGAATGAGGACGACTCTTTGTGCTTGTCCTCATTCCCATTTTTGGATATTGCCCCAGAAAACCCGTGGCGGAATTTGTGGGGGTGGCGATCGCGGTTCTTTCCATTGTATCAATGTTCTGATCTCAGCTGCCCGCTCAAACAATCAATGTACCTGGCTGCTCAACCCATGATCGAGAAAGCATCAACCCTCGTCATGTTCAAATTGCAATTATTACATAAAAAGAACAACTTAAAAATTTCATGGAGTCCCCCTACCCCCGTTAAAATTTTACGATTACATCCCTGCTAGAAATGTGGGCGGAGTTTTTGTTGGTTTATTAAGTGTCTTTGCCCCCCCCCCCCTCCCCCTAGAAAAAATGCTCAGTTTCTGCCACTGCAGAAAATTAACCTATCAGTTGCCTGCGAACAAGATTTTGAAGTCCCACGTCAATAAACAATATATTTTTGCGTCATTCTCTTTAGTTGGAAGATTTTGTTTTCTTTCGTTGACTTGCCTAAGAAGCCCCAAGCCATCTAGTGTGGCTTCTTTTGGAAAGTGATTAACTAAACCAAAACTGTATCTCGTTCCCCTTACCCCATTAAGTGGAAATTTTCTCTCTTTTGAATTGTGGCGTAAAATTTTGCCAATTTTCAGATAGTCTACAAATTTGTAAGTTCCCAGAATGGAATATTGGAACGTGACAGGGCGAATGAAGACAAACACATGCGATGACCCATGTCATTGCATTGTCTTTCATTTCTTATATACCCACAAATTTCTTTCAATTCGCTTTCTTTCCTTTTTGTTCGGAAGCCTTGAAATTCTGATATCTGAAGTGGAACGGCTAGTTATCAAGGAAAGGCTGTTCGAAAAATGCAGGAAATGTTTTATTCATCGCAACTTGTTTGTTGTGCTGACCAAAGGTACAGGCCACTTGTTTCACTTCTCTTACTTAAATTTATTCTTCATTTCTCGGTCTCTCAAAAAACATCCAGCAGCAATCTTTCGCCTGGAGAGCCGACGGTCAAAGAAAAACTTCAAGCCATTGTTAGCGAGTTCTTGAAAGAAAATAATCAGTTCGGAGAAAGGTATAATGTATCTAATATGCGAGCTCTCTTTCCTTTAAAAGCCTCTTCAAAGTTTTACATGTATGTCTTGTATGCTGGTCCACACTTCATGCTAATTATCCTGTCGGAACATTGAATGATACAAGGTTATAGCTGAGCATCACACTGTTCTAAAGCTGTCACTGCATAGATTATTCAGCCTATTCTGCTTGTTTACGTTCTTGTTGATGTGGAGGAACATCACGAACAAGTATGGCTGCGCAGCTTCATTTATCTGTGAACATTCCTAGAGTTAGTATTTTTATCTGTTTTTGTTCTGTCTCTTTAATGTCAGGTATTTGTGGTTCGTCTTTTCAAGTAAGAATGTTCCTGGCAATGCTACTTTGTTTCGTTCTTCTGCGACCTTTCTTGGTGCATCGTCTGAAGTAATCTCTTTTAGACTGAAATTCTATGCAACGTGCTCCGCGATTTGTCGCTTTGGTCAAAATAGAATGCAAAACATTCCATTCGACAATAAACAATCAATCATTTTTGTTAATAGCATAGATCTTATGTATCTTGGTAGAAATCTCAATAAATCTCCGCTAGTATTTCCTGTTCAATGTTATGGGCCAAGTTGCTCACGGTCCAGTCTGTTACTATGTGTGCGCCTTGGCGGAAACCTTGGATGAATCGTTTTTGTGTAAGTTAGCAGGCCGAAATTTTAGTTCTTTTTTGCAGTTGTATGTCAGGGACATTGCTCGACTAATAGTCATTCTCTATTAGTTTTATTGTAAGAAATATCTTTTCGAAGAAGAACGTTAAACAGAGAGAGTTCTGTGGTTCACTTGCAGCATTCGTAAAAGGACCTGGAATGTGTTTTGTCTGTTGTCATTAGAGGATGTCAGCAGGTTATGATAGCCATAAGAAAATACTTGCACTTGGTATTACAGATAGATAAATTCAAACCACTACACACACAGAGAGATATCTTAAAACCAGATTGATTTTATAGTAGATAAAAACAGTAGCGAGCAGGATATTGTCAGAGAGTGTTAGATAATTGCTCCCTGATGCAAGATAGAAGAAATATAGATGCATGAATCAATTGGGAAAATTTTCCAATTTGCATTAACCCATGCTGCTTAGGTCTGCAGACATTTGCCATATAAGTTCCCAAAGTCGCGTTATGAAATATAAGCGTGATAGGACGACGTTGTTGGTTTCTGTTCTGGATGAAACGGAATCTTGAGGAATTAAAAATGAAAAAATTGCTTGTTCCGCCAAGAATCACTACTTTGAGTGCAGGTGTTTTTTCCTATTGAGAACTACATGGAGATATATCGTGCTTCAGTGTTAATCTTACGAATTTGAATTTGCTGATCAAGAATTCTTTTCTTGCCTACGTGTTCGTCCAAAAGGCCAGCTGATTGGTTTCCATAATTCAAAATTGACGTTTGCCGCTCACTTCATCTCAGTAGTTTACTGTAATCAGTATTTCTTTAATCTTTCATGAGCATTTTTCGCGGAACATTGCAGAAATGACCGCACATAGTCTTAATGTTCTAAATCCTCTGCACCTCGCTATAATCCAGTGTATTGTTTCACGTAATACCCAACTACTGCCAACCTCGATCTGCCTGTTCGAACCCGTTTTTCACACCCACATTTCTGTCAAAGTTGAGATCTTAGGCCGTTCTGAGAATTCGTAGCAA